AACCATCTCGGTGGAACCGCCTGGAAGGGTGAGCCGGGCCTATAGCTGCGACTCCCGCCTGGTCTGCCTGGGTTGGTCGAGTCGTTTGCTCCGCCACTCCCGCCTGGATTCTCTGGGCTGGTCGAGCTTGTCTGGCTACTCCTTTCAGGTGAAGCACCCGTCTGCAACGGTTCTGTGTTTTCAGGTGAGTATGGTTGATTGATTGTTTGGCTTCTGATTGGGGGGTGTTACGCTTGCGTTGAGAGTTTTTCTTTTTCAATGTTTGAGGTCCCCCCCCCCGATTTCTTTGTTATAATCTGTGTGAGGTGTGCTGGCTAGCCTTGACCGTAGCTGGTCGATGTGTCGCTTCCAGCTTCGCCCATCGGTTGTTTCTAGGCGGTATGACTGGGGTCCGGTTATTTGGGTGATCTGTGCGGGTACCCAGAGAGGGTCTCCGGTGAAACTTTTTGCAAAAACAGTGTCGCCGATGTTAAATGCTCGGTGTCGGCTGGTGAAGCCTGGGGGTTTCTCTGGATTATATGTGGGGTGTAAGCGGTCTAGCGGTGAACGGAGTCTTCTGCCCATAAGTAATTCCGCTGGGCATTTGTTTGTGGTTGTGTTAGGGGTGATATGTTGTATTAGTAGCATTTTATTAATTTTTTCCTGAATGTTGCCGTCTTCTATTTTTTGTATGGTTTTTTTGGTAAACTGAACTATTCGTTCTGCCCGCCCATTCGCCGCTGGGTGAGTGGGCGATGTTAAAGCATGTCTGATGCCTCAGTCAGCCAGGTATTTTTCGAATGCCAGTGCCGTGAACTGCGGTCCGTTGTCGGACACTAGCACGTCTGGCAAACCGTGTGTGGCAAAGAGTTTGTTTAGTTTCGTTATGACGGCTTCCATAGTTGTTGTTTTCATAATGCTAACTTCCAGCCAATTTAAATAAGCATCAACGGTAATCAGAAATGTGTGTCCTTTAGTGGGGCCGGCGAAATCTACATGGATTCATGACCAGGGGCCTCTAGGGGTTTCCCATTCCAGGGGTGGTGCTGTGGGGGGGTGGATCATGTTTGTTGGCATCTGTTGCATACGGCTACCCATGTTTCGATCTGCTTGTCCATCCCTGGCCACCAAGAGTAACTTCTGGCCAGGGCTTTCATTCGGATGATGCCTGGGTGCCCTTCATGCAACATGTCCAGTACTCTTTTTTGTAAGGTCTCTGGTATTACCACCCGGTCTCCCCAAAGTATGCACCCTTTTTGTGAAAAAAGTTCAGTTTGCCGGTTCCTGAAGGCTTTAAAAAGTTCATTTTTGCCATTTTCTGGCCAACCCCTCTCTACCCAGCTCAGGACTCGCACCAGCCGCTTGTCTTTTTTTGTTTCACGGGCAATGTCTGGCGTGGTCAGGAGTGGGCTGGGTAAAGTTTCTATTTGAAAGACTGGTATTGTGGGTGCTGGGTCATCTTGCACGTCTGGAAGGGGGGAACAGCTTAAAGCATCAGCATGCAAAAGGTCCTTACCGGGTCGGTGCGTTAGCTGGTAATTATAGGCGGCAAGGAACTCGGACCATCTAGTCATCCTAGGTGACAGGATGTTTGGGGTGGCCTTGTTGCCTGCCAATATGCCTAGCAGAGGTTTGTGATTAGTAATGATTGAAAAGGTCCTACCGTAGATGTATTCGTGGAAACTTTTCACTCCGGAAATGATCGCTAGGGCTTCCTTGTCCAGCTGGCTGTAGTTTCTTTCCGGTTTGGATAAGGTTCTTGAAAAGAAGGCGATGGGTGCCTCTTTCCCATCCTGTAAGGTATGACTGAGAATTGCCCCAACTCCAAAAGGCGATGCGTTGCATGTAACTGTCAGCGGTAGGGTCTCACTATATTGGATGAGGACTGCGTCGGAGGTTAAGAGGTTTTTTGTCTGTTGGAAGGCGTTTTCATCCCATTTTCCCCAAGTCCAGGAGGCGGTTTTATCCAACAGTCTATGCAATGGTTCCGCCATGGTCGCCTTTTGGGGTAGGTAAACATTATAAAGTTAATGACTCCTAAAAATGCCTGAAGTTCCATCTTGTTTTTCAGTCTGGGGGCTTCCTTGATGGCTTTGAGTTTTTTCTCAGTGGGGTGAATTCCGTGTTTGTCTAGGAGGTACCCCAAGAATTCAACTCTCTCAGTGCATAGTTGGCATTTCCCTTTTTAAACTTTCAGGCCAGAGTCTTTGAATTTTTGTAGTACTGCCCTTAGACATTTTTCTAGTTGTTTTTTATTAGCCGCTGCCACTAGCACGTCATCAAAGTAAGGCACTACTCCCTTAATTCCCTGCAGCAGCCTCTCCATGAGGCTTTGGAAGATCCCGGGCACGACACTGACGCCGAATTGGAGGCGGTTGTATTTAAATGCCCCTCGGTGTGTTACAATCGTCTGTGCCTCAGCGGTCTCTGCATTGACTGGCAGCTGCTGATAGGCTTGTGCCAGGTCGAGCTTTGCAAAGACCCGGCCTCCCCCCAGTGAGTGCAGGAGGTGCTGAACTACTGGCACGGGGTAGGCACTTTGCTGCAGGGCATGGTTGAGGGTGGCCTTATAGTCCCCACAGATTCTTATGGAGCCGTCTGGCTTGATAGGGGTGACTATAGGTGTTTCCCAGCGGGCATGGTCAATAGGTTCTAATACCCCTTGTGCGATGAGCTTATCTAGTTGCTCGTCGATTTTGGCCTTGAGCGCAAATGGCACTCGCCGCAGTTTGAGACAGATGGGGGTGACGTCTGGGCTAAGATTGAAAGAGATTGGGGACCCCTTGTACTTGCCTAAAGTGTCGTCGAAAACCTCTTGGAAGTCTCGTGCGAGCGTCGCCTCCCAATCTTCCTCGTTTGTGTGGTGGATGCCTGCCATTTCTATCCCTAGCGGTGTGAACCATTGTAGCCCAAGCAGGCTGGGGCGGTCTTTGTCCACGATGGTGAGTGGCAGTATGTTAGTGTGGCCTTTGAAAGTGATTTTGAAGTGCCCGATGCCAGCTACTGGAATGCGGTTCCCCTGGTAGTCTCTGAGGATCAGCTTTTGGTCGCTTAGCTCATGTCGGTGTATGCTGGGTATTAGGCGTTTGATGGTGTGCCACGAGACCATGGAAAGGTAGGATCCGGAATCCACCTCCATGGTGCATGGTTGGTCTTCAATGTCCACCTCTACGCATACCTTTCGGGCTTCTATGGTTGAGGAATGTCCGATGACAACCGTTTGGTGGGTCTCTTCTCTCCGCGGCGCCTCGTTGAATCATTTGTTCCGGCCGTCTTGGCTCCATCGGCTGTCAGTCTGGCGATCCCGATGCTGGGGGGGGTGCCGTCTCATCATCTGGGGCTGCCTCCTCGACGCCGGGGACTGTGGTTATGTTTATTCCAGCATACTTTTGCGATGTGCCCTCGCTTCTCGCAATGCCGACAAATGGAGTCAAGGAAATGGCATTCGGAATGGGGGTGATCGCCTCTGCAGCCGGCACACTGGAACCCTGACTTACGACCCCGCCGGTCCCGCCGATCGTGTTCCGACTGGAGTCGGTGGATCTCTTCCTCCTCATAATCGCTGTCAGAGGGGGATTCGATGTTGCCATGGTGGGTGGTGGTGGTGTGTTTCTCCGATGTTGAAACCGCCTCGCTGACAGGATGGCGGTCAGTTCTGTTTGATTGCCGCATCCGGGCCGCTGATTTGCAGGTGGCTTCGGCTGTGGTCGCTTTGGCTAGGGTGTCGGTGAGGGAGATATCGCCCTTGGCCATCAGCCTGCTTTGTAGTGTGGGGTCTTTTAGGCCGAGGATGACCCGGTCTCGCATGGCCTCATCTAGGTCAGTGAATCCGCACAAACCTCCAAGGTCCCTTAGATCAGCCACAAAGTCGCTGATGCTCTCGCCCTCACGCTGGTCTCATCGGTAAAAATCGTGCTGGTGAATGAAAGTAGGCACGGCCGGGGCGTAGTGGTTTCGGAGGATGGGTGCGAGGTCGTCCCAATCCATCGCCTTGACGTCCGCAGGTTTTGCCAAAGCCTTGGCCATTTTAAACACGGCGGGCCCGCAGTGTTTTAAAAATATGGCCCGTTTCCGATTGCCATTGGCGTCTTTCAGGTTGCTGCATTCCAAAAACATCTGAAACCAGTCGATGTAGGACTCCCAGTCCTCAGTGGCTGGGTTAAAGGGTGCGGGTGGTCGTTTTCACACCATTTGCCACGTGTTAGATTGTCTCGTTGTCTCACAATCCCACCCTCGTCGCCAGTGTTAAGTTTGGCAGGTCGGACTCAGAGAGACGAGAGACTCAGATTAAGTGAACAACAGCTCTTTATTTAACAGGCTAGTTCTGAGTAAAAACAGCGCTCGCGGTGGCTCTTTTTATAGAGCTAGCCACGGCTAGGCGGCCAATGACATCGCTTTGAGTTTCCCGCGATTGGTTTCATCCAATCGCGGTAGACTCCTACCGAACCAATCACCGCCGTCCTGACTGTCCAATCACGTAGCGGTCTTTATGGACCAATAGGAATGCAGGGTTTCAACCTGCTAATATGGAACACAGCTGATTGCTGTTTTACACACAGGGCTTACAGCAGAAGGTAAGTTGCAAACACTGCGCATGCGCAAAGCGCGCACTCATACCAAACTCTTAGGAAAACTTTTTGAAACTTACCAGTGCGCTCTCTCTCTCTCTCTCTCTCTCTCTCTGTCAGCTCCATTCCTCTTCCCCCTCAGAGCTCCCAGGTTGCCCTGATGCTGACTCCCATGCCTCTGCCTCCTCCTTTGATTTGGCTGCTGGAGGGGCAAGCCACAATACTCCCTTTCAATAATCTTGGTGAATCATTTATTTATAAAATGGAAGATTATGTATTTTATGGGTATCTGAATAGCTTAAAAGCATTGAAAGCAAACCCCCACCATGCCACATCACACCGCACCACACCACACCATGCCATGCCACACCACACCACATGACACCATGCCACACCACAAAAGTAAAATATTGTTGTTGCACCTTCAATGTAATAAAACATATTTTGTCCCACCTTGTTCAGCATTTCCATCTGTGTGATACTCATCTGATCTACTGTAAATTCAAAATACTGGGATACCCGTTTTGCTAGATTCCCGAATTTCACTTTCTTAACAGACTTGTTGGGAAAAATGACCCAGTTCACAACATCCAGGTCAGCTGTCAGATCTCCTCTCTCATCCAAATATACATCGTCTATGGAATTATTGTGAAACTGGGAGCTTTTAAGGAAGGAGTGAAGCTAGAGAGGAAAGTAAAAAAAAAGAGTTTTTTCCATTCTGGAGAGGTCAGAACATTTATCTCTTTCTCTGCTAAAAAAAAACTTTATTTTCTAAGTGTCCAATATGTCTAGAAAACTATCAGTAAATACAAGAATAATAAATGCTGTAAATCAAACCATGAATAAAAAGGACAGAAATTTAAACAGCTGGTCATGTTCATGATCTGACCACTTTATTTTAGCAATGATAATATAAAGCCTTAGTAAGACCATATCGAGAGTACTGCATCCAGTTTTGGTCACCACACTGTAAAAAAGATGTTGAGACTCTAGAAAGAGTGCAGAGAAGAACAACCAGGATGATTAGAGGGCTGGAGACTAAAACAGTTACAGGAACTGGGCATGGCTAGTCTAGTGAAGAGAAGGACTAGGGGAGACAGGATAGCAGTCTTCCAGTAGTTGAGGGGCCGCCACAGAGAGGAAGGGCTCAAGCTATTTTCTAAAGCACCCAAAGGCCAGACAAGGAACAATGGATGGAAATTGAACAAGGAGAGATTTAACTTAGAAATAAGGAGAAATTTTCTGACAGTGAGAACAATCAACCAATGGAACAGTTTGCCCTTGGAAGTTGTGGGAGCATCATCACTCAAGATGTTCAACAAGAAATTGGACTGCCATTTGTCAGAAATGGTGTAGGGTCTCCCGCTTGGGCAGGGGTTTGGATTAGATGACCTACAAGTTCCCTTCCAACTCTGTTATTCTGTAATCTATAATAATAATAATAATAATAATAATAATAATAATAATAATAATAATAACTTATCTAAAGACAAACAATCATTTTATTAGTGCTTTATCAGCATAAAAATAAAAAAAATTCTCTGAGACCTCGCAGTACTCCTCACAGAGAGAAAGATCAAAGGAGACATATATGAATGCAGTACAATAACATGACCAAAACCCAAATTATAAACACTTCAAGGAATGAAATTGAAAAATGGATGAACAACCCAGATATCAAAGGGTTTACTTCAAAAAAATAAAAAGGAAAACACTGAAAAAAAAAAGAGGGGAGAATGAGAAATGAAGGAAATGAACTTTTGGAATTAAGTTGGATTTGAGTTTCAGGATGCTCTAATTTTTCAGAATAAGTAACCAAGGTATCTGCTTACAAAACTGATTTCCATCAGGGGAAACGTGGCTGATGGAAAAGAAATACCTGCCAAGTATCCAACCTGGGAGCTTCCACCTTCATGCCTCTATTTCTCCCTGCTCTTTTGGATGTGGATACATAAGCTGAATTTAAGGCCCTTCCCACAGCCCAGATGGTGTTGTAAATGAGGTAGCTGTCCAGGGTCAGGATCCTATTGATGTCCCCTTTCCTCAAAGCCTCCAGTTCTTCTTTCTGCCTGCACCGTCTCCAGACTTTTACCGAAAAGCCATCCTTAGTGGATGAACATGTAAAGGTGTTCTTCCAAAATTTAAATGTAGATGTGAGAAAGAGATTAAAAGCATCATAGTTTGCCCATTTCCTTTTCTGTATCAAGAAGGAAAAAATGGCACCAAAGTATTTAAAGGAAAGGTTAGCAAACATTAAGTCAACAGTGAGATCCCAGTGAGCAGTGGTGATCCAAACTTTTTCTACAGATTGTTGCTGAACACCTTGAAGAATTCGTTCTACAATCAGCATTCCAATCCGGAATGAACTAGTCTCTGATCCATAAACAAAGACATTGACTTGCCTCCACTTGTAATATTGTTTAAAATCTAAACCTATCTGATGCACATTTAGTGGAAAGCTTTGATAGATAACTGCACAAATGCCATTCCTTAACATCAAAGAAGACACAGTCCTCATGAACCTCTCCCCCTGGTCAGTTTCTGGAGCAAGGAGACCAACCAAGGTCCACTTGAAATAGAGGAGAAGCTGGACCATCCCCGGGTACTGGACTCCTTCAGCAGGGAGCATCGGATAGAAAAAAGGAAACTGAGTTTTATCCCTCAGAATCTGGGAAGCAAGACTGTAACTGATCTGAAAGGAGTAGAAGATGGTGGTATTTTAAATTGAACAAGTAAATGCAATTCCATTCATTTCCAAAATCCAACCCTTCTTTTCATTTACAGGAGAGGATCTCTGATGGAAAGTTGCATGGTTTAAAAATGTATCATGAGAAAGACACACCTGAGGAGTCTTGTAGATACCCAACAAAGTTGAAATCTGGATGGAGATGCCAGTCTCAGCTCCTTCCAGAACAGCCACTGTGTTTCTCTGCCTTCCACACCTGTAGTTGGGCACATTGGCCTCCCCTTCTGAAAGCAGGTCTAGCAAAGGATCTGTAGTCATCTCTACCTTGAAGAAGTTCTCATAGATATTGTGGCCCAGTGTGATGTTGGATAAGAGGTGGCCATTCTGGTTGATGTCCTCAATAGCAAAAAGGAAGGGCAAACATTTCCAAAAAAATTTGGATGATTTGCTGCAAGGTATGAACATATCAATGAAAATGCCATTTAACTTTTATTTCAGGAGAATGTTTTTAGTCAACTCAATCACAATTATTTTTTCCAAATAGTTAGTAACATTCCAAAATTTTACCATAGGAAAAGAATAAGAACAATAGAAATTTTTAAATCAATTTCATGTGCAGGTCTTCAAACTTTTAACCTCATATTTGATCATTTGTTTCCTCTCTCTCTTAATGGTACCCAGATGGTTAAAAGAAACTATTCACTATGACTTGTTTTAAATTTTAGATATTTTTGGAGTTAGAATTCAGAATGACTGAAAAGGTCTGCCACCCAGAAGACATTTAGAAGAAATTAAGACTTTTGAGTGAAGGTTCAGCCACTGTTGGATGGACCTTTGTTGGATGTTTTGTTGTTTCTTGGTTATTTTCCTGTTTTCATTTTTCTTTTACCTAGACATATTAGATACTAGACAACACAGTATCAACAGTAGAGACCTTCAAGTTTCTAGGTTCCATCATATCACAAGACCTAAAATGAACACCTAACATCAAAAACATCATCAAAAAAGCACAACAAAGAAAGCCCAAACTGCCCAAGGAGCTGCTGATACAGTTCTACAGAAGAATTATTGAGTCTGTTATCTGCACCTCTATAACTGTCTGGTTTGGTTCTGCAACCCAACAAACAGACACAGACTTCAGAGAGTAATTAAGACTGCAGAAAAAAACAATTACTACCAACCTGCCTTCCATCAAGGACCTGTATACTGCACAAGTCAAAAAGAGGGTTGTGAAAATATTTACAGACCCTTCACATCCCAGACATAAACTGTTTCAATGCCTACCCTCAAAATGACGCTATAGAGCATTGCACACCAGAACGACTAGACACAAGGACAGTTTTTTCCCAAACACCATCACTCTGCTGAACAAATAATTCCCTCAACACTGTCCCGCTATTTACAAAGTCTGCACTACTATTACTATTAATCTTCTTATCACTCCTTATCACCCCTCCCCTCCCACTTGTGACTGTATGACTGTAACCTTGTCACTTGTATCCTTACAACTTATATTGATTGTTTCCTAGTATGATTTGATTGCATATTGTACCCTATGACTATTATTAAGTGTTGTATATTATGATTCTTGACTCTTGATGAATGTATCTTTTCTTTTATGTACACTGAGAGCATTTGCATGAGACAAATTCCTTGTGTGTCCAATCACACTTGGCCAGTAAAGAATTCTCTTCTCTTCTCTTCTCTTCTCTTCTCTTCTCTTCTCTTCTATTCTATTCTATTCTATTCTATTCTATTCTATTCTATTCTATTCTATTTTATTCTTTTGTAATTAAAAGACACCAAGTGCCACAAAGCCCATGAGCTGTAAAAATAAATAAACTGTAAGGCAGTGTGAAGATTCAGCCCCTGTTGGACAAACCTTTTCTCTTTCTTTTTTTAATTTTAAAAAGAAAATGTTATTAAAGATTTAAAAAAAACACTATGGACAATACGTTGAATACAACTTTATGTTGCAGACAAAATCTATATATACAAATACATAGTAGATAAACATATAAAACATATGTTTCTGATCAACTAAGACGGTGTGATTTTTAATTGGTAATAATTTTACTACTATTCATTTCTTAATTTGATAAACATTCTTAATTTAACCACTCCATTCATCAAAACCATATCTTTTAATTTCCTGTTTTTTTCTCTTTAATCCACTTATACCATTTATCCCAAGCTGTAATATATCTTGAGTCTTTTCTGAACCTTTTCTGTTGGGCTATTTTTAAATTTTTTTACCTATTTCTGTTATTTTTTTAATTTGTAATTGAAAAACATCCAGTGTTATAAAGCCAATGAATTGTACAAATAAATGAATGAATCAACCCAACAAGTATTCTACCAATATAATAAATATGATATTTCTATTTATTTATTTATTTTGAATTTCTTAGCTCTTTGACATGAACTTGTGAATAAAAGTGTCAGCCTTGGAAGCCATTTTTTACTTGAAAGCTTCGAGGCTGCCACATTCAGTGCCTGGGAATTTGGGAGGGGGGATTTCATAGTAAGGTAGAAGACTAGATACAACAACATTCTTTCTCAGAGAGTCAAGGACATGTTGCCCTGCACCTGGAGTGGAGTGCCTGGAGGGATGTCTCCAGTTGGGATGAAATTTTGTTTGGGCCATGTGATGGACTGGTGGACGCAGGGGATGGATCTTTGACTTCTCTTTTGGGACGGGAAAACCTGGAACTCTCAGATTTGGGTTTTCCCAGATGTGCCAATATGACAACGCTAATAAAATGGAACTTTGAAAAAAATGCTTGTCTCAGAGTTTATTGGTTTGGAGTTTGTTAGTTGGAACGCTGACATGAAGTCAGAGAAAATTTCAAACTCCATGAATACCTACGCTCTCAAATGAGGCTGTTTTATCCCAGCAGTAAATTTTGGTGTGGGGAAAAATATAGTTGAATTGTCTCATCTCCAATGCAGAAAGGAAATACAGCATTCCTCTTTGCTTGGACTAGAAGTCCATCCTGAGTTCAGTTCGTCTCAGGAGAAAGGTGAAAGGAAGAGATCATTCAGTTCCTCTGTGCCCGCAATTTAGCTCTGCTCACAGAATAGGAAGGGAAGTGAACAGAGAAAAATATTTTGATTTAATTTTATACTTTAGAGCTCAAAATGAAATTTGCCACCTACGGGTGGGTGACAAGGGGACCACAAGACAGAATCAGGTAGTAAGTTGGCAAAAGGAGTAGATCAAAAGTAGAGCACCTTGTATTTTCGGAAGGCTGTAACTGTAAATATTCATTGGAAATGCAGTGGCTGTACTGAAGTACAGGAGGATCAACTTACGTGAAGAATGTTGTTGAAGGACTTCTGTTGAAGTTTAATGGTTGAAACCTAGCCTCCTTCGCAGAGACTATGGCACTAATGAAATAATCTCCTGACTTGTAATGATGTTCTGGGTCCACTTCATTTTGCTCTAGAGTCAGAAGACATTTGGCTTTGCACATCCCACAAGCTTCAGGTGGCCACGCAAGCAGCACAAATAGAAGCATGAGCAACATGATTTGAGTTGCTGATTGAGCCTTGCCAGTGATATCTGTATTTTAACAAAGAATGAGAAGATGATGTGCATAGGAACCAAAATGTCTTCCACAAGCTACAGATCCAGTCTGAGTCCAGCCAAGTGATGTCCCTGCTTGTCCTGAAACCCACAAATTTTCTTTCTATCTCCAGAGCCATTGATACACCCAGAATTTCCACCCAACTGAGCTTTTAAGTCTATATCAAAGCATTTCGTGCCATGCTTCTATAACATCCTCAGAAAGGTTGCAGAAAGTCCTCTAGGAAACTAAAGTCAGAAAATAAATCAGTATAGTTTAGATAATTGAAAGGAAGAAAAAAACATCAACTCCCTGAATCCCTTAATATGTCTCCAGGCTGGTGCCCAAAGGGAAAAGTCACAGATGTGGCCCCAAGCTGCGAAGATAGGCCAGTGATAGAATCTGTGGAGAAATTAGTACATTTTCCCCCAATAAAACACTTTTAGAGAACTTGGGATCAACCCAGGATCAAGAGAGACCTGGCTTTTAGCATGGCCATGAAAAGTCTCATATTAATATGGATTTAGTACAGATTTTTTTTCTAGCTGGTCGTTTCAAATACCAGTTCGGTGAACGAGATGCAAATTTAACATCCAGTTCACCCAAACAGGTCCAAACTGGTAGAATCCCACCCATGCTTCAGGGACCTTGCACCACAAATTGCTGGTTGTGGGACTGGTATCTGAAATTAGGTACATAAAATCAGCTGAGCCTGTTGCCACTGTACCAGCCTCTTTACTGTTTAGCAACCTCCCTGCCTGAGATGCTGGAGGCTGTCTCAGGGTTGGATGTGGAATTCCCCAGGCTTATGGTCTTGGGGAATTTCAATTTCCCATCCCTGGGTCTGGCCTCAGAAGCAGCTCAGAAGTTAATACCCACCATGGTGGCTATAGGTTTATCTCAGATTATTCATACTCCAACTAAAAATTGTGGTCACACACCAGACATGGTTTCCTTGTTAGAGCAGTGGCAAAATGGGATCTGAAGAGGAATTTTCTTTGTCCCCTTTGTGACTCTAGAATTCTCCTATCATCCTCTTTTAATGACCCCATGATCCCTTGCAGGGTTGAGTCTGGTCAAATGAATGGGGCTGAGTGTTTATTGGCCAGATGCCTTTCCTGTCACCAATGAGGAGTTTTTTTCAGCAGATATATTCTCAGTATGCCCAGAGGGGGAAATATCTGCCTCTACCAAAGATCAAACTCACATCCTCCTGATTGTGAGGTGAGAGCTCCACCTTTAGACCACTGCACCACTCTGTAGTTCTGCTATGCTACTCCATTTTGCAGGGAGGCCAAACCAGAGGTGTGATTCAACCGGTTTGGACTGGTCTGTGTGAACGGGTTGTTAAAATTCTATCCAGTTTGGTGAACTGGCTAATCCCACCACTGGCTGGTTTCGACCTGCCCATTTTTAGGCCATTTTGAGGCCATTTTTGGGCTGTTTTGGGGAAGTTTTCCAGGCCGTTTTTAAAATGACCCCAAAAACAGCCTGAAAATGCCCCCAAAACAGCCCAAAAATGGCCCAAAAATGGCCAAAAACACCCTGTTTTTAGGCTGTTTTGGGGCTGTTTTACAGGCCATTTTTGGCCATTTTTCAGCTGAAAAACAGCTCCAAAACACCTGCGAAATACCTGAAAAACACTCCAAAACATGGCCTCCAAACCAGCCAAAAACAGCCTGAAAAATGAAGGAAGGAGGGAGGGAAGGAAGAAAAGGAAGGAAGGAAGGAAGGAAGGAAGGAAGGAAG